TTTCAACACATTTTGCAATAGGGCTGCGCAATTATTTAATTTATTATAACTCATATTAATTGATTAATCGTACAATCCGCTTTTAACAGCTCGGCGCTAAAAATTATATAAAAACCTATAATAAGGCGAGATCAGCTATTTCCATAATTTCTTCAAAATCACCTGTACTGTCTAAGGATTTACATTTCTGATGTTGTCATATATTGAGCTATTCAACCTTGATAACATACTGTTTTATATTGGAAACGTTTTGCAGCAGACACTTTATTCGAACTATTGAATTTTCCAGCCTCATCTTATTTCGAAGATAAGTTTTTGTTGAATTCATTACGGAAAAAAACGCGCTCAACAAAGCATGTGAGTGCGGCAAGGATAATAATGGCTGCGTTTCTTTATACATTCCGGATAATCCAATTTCACAGCCGGAATAAACAGAATGCGTTTGAGATCTACGTTATAACATCATCAGGAATGTTCTAAAGAATAAGTAAACAAAAAAGTTTATTCCAAACGCTCAGAATGAATAAAGAAATGTAGCCAATATGAATTTACATACTTATATTTCTAAACATTTTATTGCCTGTTGCGGTTTTCACTCCGTAAACAATTATCCAAAATTCTTCAGAGTCGGATGGAATGGTTCTGAGAAAAGTTATTCCATGGGAAAGTTAAAAGAATTAAATATTCAGTTTCCGCTGCTTTTCTTTCCTTCGAAGTCAAATAGTGAATTGGCAGGTCTCTGAAACTCGCCCTCTTATGATTCACACACTTTTTTGGTGACAAAATCAAAGCTTTTTTAAAAGTGTCATGTCAAAAATTCTTCGATTAGGGTGATTAAACATTTTTGCCAGTCTTTTAATATGCTTCTTAAGTCAAGTTTATCACGCAGTTCATTAGCCTCTTCTGCAAAATTATCGTGGAAAACTAAGTTTTTTATATTTTTATAATCGGAAAAAATTTATTTGAAGGGACACAATCGCCAAAAATCGCCAATGGCGATTTCCTAAATTTTTACGCAAAAATATCCAAAAAAATTGCCAAATTGGCGCGAAATCGCCAAATCTGGACACTCTGAGTAGAAGAGCAACAAATTTTATTTAGTTGCATGCAAACATTAAACGAACAGGTTGATGTCGCATTATTGTTGAATAAAGTGTACCTACTGAGTAAATTATTTAATTAGTGGTAGTAATTTTATTTATTTTCTTCTGGTCCTGAATTACAGAAGCTTTGAGAAATTCAAGCAAAATTAAAATTTAAATAAATAAAAGATCATAGACAATAACAGCAATAATTGTTTAAAAAAAATTTGTTTATGTGCTGACACACAATATTTATTGTTATTATCTATAATATTTTATTTATTTTAATTGTAAATTTAAAGTTTTTTTTGAATTTCTCAAAGCTTTTGTAATTCAGGATTTGAAGATAATAAATAAATTATGTAATTATGTGAATTATGTAATTTTTTCTTTAAATACCAGACTACTCCTCAATCAAAACATACAATATGTTTTGTCATTTATCTTTTGGCATAATTTTAAATTTTTCTTAAATGTTAAGTTTTACCTGATTAAAAAACAAATATATATTTTTATTTAATTTCTACTTGAAATTAGCGAAATTTTCTTTAAATATTCAGAGTGCTCGAAGAACGCTGACCAAAAATCCACATTTAAATTATCCAAACAAAAAAATTTAAATACATAACAAATTTGACCAACTTTTTTCTTACTTAGGGCCGTTAACTTTCCATGTTTTTTAGCTCTAAAAAATATCGGTCAATGAAAAAATGCTAAAAAACATACAGCATTTTTTATAATTACCCTCCAGTACTGCTGGAGTCAATCGCTACTTTTGAACCGCTACTGCACCGACTCCTAGGTAAGTAGCTACTCTATTAATCCGTGGTAGTGCACATGGTAGTGCAGAGCCGAACCCGTCGTAAGTAGAATAGCGAAAAACTACGACAGAGGGCGCGCATAAATCACGCAAACGACTACTTTAGTAACTCCCGGTAGTGCAGAGAGAGCCGATGGTGACTACCGCCTAGGACATTGCCTTGTAAAAGTAATCGATGAATTACACTGCAAGTAGTCGGTCGGTAATTGACGGTGTTTATCAGGTAGCTACCGATTCAGCAGTCCTGTAGTCGCTCCCCCGTACTGCAGGGTAGTAATAAAACGCAGCAATACCACTAACCCATTCTCATTTTGGGGTAACATAACTAATACATTCTCATTTGACTCTTTTCTCTTTTTGGCTAGCACTGTTACTGAAAAGAGAAATCGATTAATCGATGTCTGTCTGTTCACCTCTCCGTCTGGGCACAGGATAACCCCAGAAAACAACCCTCTTGCTGCTACCGATTCAATATGGCTTGCTGTTAACAATTTCCGGGCGATTTCAGGTGCCGACTTCAGTATAGTAGTAAAAGTTAAGAATTATGGATTTGACATGTCTTCAAAACCACAACCTGCAATTCGAATTGAGGTAAATAATGCAATTATTAATAAGTTTAAACAAATGTTGTCAAACATCTCGCCGGCTCTGAATATTAGGCCTGCTCGTTCAGTGCATTAGAGTACCCTAGTGTGAGAAAAAGCGTTTTCTTGCAATAAATGCATGTCGCTTCTTGCGTCAAATGTCAGAAGTTGTTCTGCACTTCACTGCTTTACACTGTTAGTGCACTCACCGAACAGACCTATTGGCTGTCCAATTTAATTGTAAAAACAAATATTTTTAAAATCTAAATATAAAAAATTGTCATTAAAAACCGTTTTATTATTTTCCCTATTTATTTTATGGCCCATAATATCCCGTGACATTGAACTATCTGAAGAAGTGCCCGGAAATATAAGAGGAATGATTTTATGTGGCATGAAAGGTAGTTAAAACACTGCTGAAGTAATTGGACAGCAGAATATAATAAGAAGTCCTTTAAAAATCCCGACGACTATGGAAAAAATAAACTAAAATAAAAATAAATAACACCATTATAGGGCCACCAACCCCAAAAGAGTGGTGCGAATGACATATCTGAAGGTTAGCTAAAAATTGAAATGTCTTTGAATCTCTCTGTCACAAGTAAAAGTTCACAATAATTAATAAACACAGTTTTGGTACTTAGGGTGAAGAAATAAATCTCTAAACTCTATGGCACGAAATGCGTTTAAAGCATTTTGCAAATATTACAAATTTTTTAGGAAGAATTGAAAAAAGCTATTATCAGTGCTGAAAAAACTTCAGTGTAGTTGATCCAGATGCCCACCGTAAATATTTCACAGTCATTCGGTTTCCATGGCAAACCTGCTCTTGGCGAAAGGAATATCTGATTTAAGGTAAAAAGGGAATAGCTTTAGAAAACAAATAAAATCTTTTCACTTTGGGAAAAATTAATATCCAGCACGTTAAGCTGGCGAATTATTCGCTCATTTCGACCGAAGATATTTGTAAATTCCAGCGGTAAAACGTTGTTATTCGTACCGTGGGGATTCGCAAGATCTACTTCTCAACAAGATTTTTACTTATTCAAAACAGAATGAATACGTGTCGAAACTTAAATAAACCAAACTTCAAAATAGGAGGAAATAATATAAATTCTACTAAGATCTGCTAAGCGTAAAACAAATAGTATTGTGCAATATAAATGCAATCCAATACCAGCAAATGAAATTATTTTTAAAATAATCGGTAACCTGAAACTTGTTTTTGCACATATAAATTTTTTCTACGAAAATTTCAACATAATGGTACAATTAAATTATCTTTAGTGGTGTACATACATACGTACATACAGAGCCAATTAAATAAAAGCTTGCAAAAATATTATCGGTCTTGTTTTCTTCGTAATAAAGTTTTCCAAAAACACAAAATTTCGTTTGAACGGAGTGCATAGAAATACATACCCCTATCCAGTGGCCTAGTCGGATGACAAATTATCTTTTAATGAATATATGAGTAGTCCACTTGCAAAAAGCGTTATGTAATTTTATAAAAGTAAGCCATAAATTAAAAAAAAACGTCTACGACAACAAGTAACACCGGAACTGTATCTTTTTTATTACCTGAAAATTTGGATAAATAAAAGCCTAAAACCATTAATAAAAAAGAGAAGTATGGTAGATTTGCAAATTTTATATTTAAAAATTTAATATTGCAAGTTTTGAAACAGTAACTTTTACATAGCTAACTTTTTTTAGCTTTTCGCGTTTTCTCCTCTAGGAAGATTGCTTTGCTTTTTTTTGCGGCCTCTTCTACTAGGCACCGAAACTACCACGTTTTCTTGCAGTTTTCTAAGTTCATACGAAGAGGAGACTTTTGAAAGTGTATAAATAAGTATTATAGCGACTTTTGCAAGAGTTGTTAACATTTCATGCTATTTTTTTCATAATGTAGAAAAAATTTTCACTCTGCTGTTAGTGGACATGAAACCTACCAAAAACTAAAAATCGAAAGAAAATTTACATAGCGCACTTTGCAAGTGGACTACTCAATTGTTGAATATGCTAATTAAGGAGCGGCTGAATGGTTTAACGATGTTAGCGGTACATAATGATGTGCCGATTACAACACAAGAAGTAATTGAAAAAATGTGTCTTAAGCAACGAAGATTAAAAATCGCTTTATAAGTAATAAGATTTTGTAGACTTGTACATAAAAAAATGTAAATAGATACGCGTAAATATATAAATATGCAGATACATATATTCAATGTGTAAAAACTGAAGTGTATACTAACGAAACTTCTACAAAACAAAACTGGACTACACACTAATTAATTAAAATGGTGTAGTAATTTAATTTTATCGATGCAAATTTTTTTAATGCAAATATGTACATATGTATATACATACATATGTATTTGAGCTAATGGTATTTACAATTTAGATCGTTGTCCGATAGATGTCATCGACTAAATAAAAATGTTTAATTTAGTACAATTTCCGGTGCATTACATGCAAATTTCACGCTAAAATTTAATAAAATGCAGTGCCATGTTTATGGAAGTTTTTAGTGTCTTCTTAGCAAGCTCGTGCAAATATAGTAAAAAAATGTTGAAATATTTTATAATTTTTACTGTAACCACTTTTATAAGTTTAACTCAAAATGTGCAGGTGTGTAAGGAAAATAAATACATAAAGTGAAATACCTTTTTAAAAGGCGAGAGTTAACTCATATTAGGCAGTTAACTATTGATTTTTAGAAAAATTATTGAATGTTAATTGCCGAAAGAGGGTTACCTCGCACGAGTTAACATACATACGTTATGTATGATACATACATATTTACTAGTTTATTTAACCTAAGAAATAATATTTGAAATCAAGAACAACTTATGAAAAAAGGTGACATCCTTACAATGCAGCACAAGAAAAACTAGAAAAAGCTGTTTCAACAGAAACTGAATACCAAAATCGAATTGTTAGATGTAAAGTCTTTATTGAGAATATGAAGAGGTGGTTGACACTGGAAACAACGCCGATGAGTTTAATAGCCCCGACAGACATAGATACATATAAGGGCTGTTCAGGGTATTGTGGAAATGGTCTTGGATTTGCGGTTGGAATTGCATTTGCAAATTTTAAGCTTGCTACCATGGCAACCCTGTGCATTTTATTGTTGTGCATTTACTAATGCACCGAATGTGGGTGCTTCCATCGGAAGGTCTACCCCGACAAAAAAAAATAAAATTAAAGTCATATATCTAACGTGTTTCTGGGCCAATTTATCTGCTTTTTTAAAATACTGGCTATGTAAGTAGAAAAATTCTTGTTTAAAATGGTTTTGCTGGGTGGCGCCAAGGTCGAGATATTTTGAAAAACCGTTTTTATGGTCCGATTTGACGTTTTACCCTGAATTGGCGCTGAAGTCAAAATATAAAGTACAGCGTGGCGACGAATAACTGTTACCCAGTTTTTTTTGAGAAATAAAAGGGTCCTTTATAAATTTTGCGAAAGAAGTATTTTATTGTTAATTTTCCACAGATTTTACTTTAGTTGTATTAGTTAGTTTTTAAATTTTAATCCTTATCTACATTTGCCAGCAGTGTAAACTTTCAGAGAAAAGTTCATTTGGCACGCAAGTCTTTTTCAGGTGTATTTTTTCTTAGGCTTTGTATAAAAAAAAGTACAAAAAAGAAAAAAACTGTATAAGGTTGGTCGAATGAATGGCCGTCCTAGTCACCAGTCCCGAGTCTATTAGATTTTTGAGTATGAGGCCTTATTTTGGACAGAAGGGGGAGTATAAAGGACTCAAAATGGAGAAAATTAGCCTATGGTTACAGAAGATATGGAACAAATTAACTGACGAGGACCTGCGTGCCAAATGAACTTTTCTCTCAAAGTTTACACTGCTGGCAAATGTAAATAAGGATTAAAATTTAAAAACTAATTAATACAACTAAAGTAAAATCTGTGGAAAATTAACAATAACATACTTTTTTCGCAAAATCTATAAAGGACTCTTCTATTTCTCAAAAAAACCTGGGTAACAGTTATTCGTCGCCACGCTGTATATTCGACATAAAATGCATGTTGTATTTGTATTGTAAAAATTCATTTAAAGTCAATATTAACAAATATATAACGATGGGATTTTATGTCACGTGACGCCGAGTCACGTAATGTTTCACACTTGGGGTTGTAAAAGAAAATCGAAACAAGTTGCATTAATTCAAAAAACTATAAAAACAACTAGAATTACTCCAAATCACATTAAAACAAGTTTCATGAAAAGAACTATCCACAATTCGCAGAGTTTTGTAATTTTGTAAGAAATTAAAAAATCAACTTCCATTTTTTGTCTCGTAAAGCCCTTCTCTTTTTAATGGCTTATATTTAAGGACCATGCGGTTCGATTGTTTTCATTTTTCGGCTAAATGTAGAGCTAATTATGTGCTATATAAGGGTCTAAAAAAGTAAAAGAAAACAAATGTCTTTTCTTGTTTCATGGTCTCATTGAAACGTACGACTGTCATGTATGTGACATATGGAAATACCCATATGCAAATGCAAGAGCATATGCACAAGATCCTGAACAGCCCTATAGTTTGTATACTACACTAGCATTGTGTACTACATTTCTGTCGTTATGTTCATATTAAAGCACAAATAACATATTTTCGATCAAAGTGTATAACGTAAATCATGTGCGTTCAGACTTGCCTTCATGATTTCTATAGATATTTGATTGGTACGTGTACGTACGGGTGTGTGGTATGTGCTTGATTAAAAAAAAAAAAAATGGTGGCATACCTTTATTTGTATTATTTTACTCAACAGAGGCAGCCAAAATAAATGACAAGAAATTTTTTTTCAGTTGGTTCTTAATTTATGATAAATTATCTCATTTCTAAATAATTTATTGTACAGGGAAAAATTACTTGATTTGCTTATAAATTATGAATGCCGTAAATTACGATAATATGAACAAACAAAGCTTAAAATTACGTGTGGGATAATGAAACAAATTATCAGTAAAGGCTGGTCTACATAGAACTTTCGCGTTGGCTTTGGCGTTGGCGTTGGTTTGACAAAACGCACGTTAAAGGTATGTTTGCTACAATGAACGCTTGGCCGCGAATGCCTTGGCCCCTAAATTAACATACTAACGACAGATAAATTAATATTTCATATCAATAATTGCATGAAAAACAATATTTTTCCCCCGGAATTTGATTAAAAAGGTAAACTATTAAAAAAAATTTAATTATTTGCAACAGCTGACGATTTCTGCCTCTTGTTGGAATTTTGGCTATGTGGACGGCTGCATTTGAATTCATATATTTATATTCAGCTGTTGAAGCGGCGTCAACGCCAACTCAACGCCAAAGTTCTATGTTAAACGTACTAAATGTGCTTCTTCCTTATAAAAAACATCTCGCCGCACAGTGGGAAGCAAAAATGTGGGCAAAAATAGAATTATGAACGGATTTAAATGAAAATTCGGTTTTTAGTAAAACTGAGGACGCTAAATTCAAAAATGCAATTTGTTTTTGGATAACTTTCATACTTTCCAGTAGATTTGCAATAAAGTTTTATTTTTTGAAACGGGGGGGCCACCTGTTACAAATTTTATTAAAGTCGTTTAATAAGTTAAATGAATATTAAATCACTTTAATTAAGGGAACAAGGTATCAAAAATATGTATGGATATTAGACAAAAGAAAAAATTTGACATATTTAGCAAGAAATAAGCGAAGAGTAATAACATTCCTGAGTTAATTTAAGAGTCCAGTAATTTAAAAGGAATGTAATCAGAATAAATCACTGATTGACAATGCTGGAATTTGTAACAAAATGACAAACACGATGTCGTGAACCCTTGGTTTGACACAATTATTATTTTAGTTTAACTAAATTTAACTCCACAAACAGGTGACAACCCTCTTCGTAATATTTGCAAGCTAAAACCTTTTTAAACCTCTTTCGCCTGACTCCCATATGGTGATACCTATCTATTTCAATTACCTAATTCCTCTAATTCCAATGGAATTTAATATTTTAAACAGGTGGCGTCCTCTTCATGTAGTTAAGAAATAAACCCTTTTCATGCACATTTCGATTGATACCTTCTCTTAATAATCCATTAACTTATTAAAAAAATTGGGGTTCAATTGTTTAACAGGTGGCAACTCTGAAAAAAAAACAAACCTCTATTGTCCACATGTCAAGCGTTTTAATCTAACACTTCACTTTTGAAAATAGAACGAATCATGCAGATCTGATGGCACTGACAAAATATTAAAAAAATATTTTATGCATTAGCAAAATACGCATTACTTCAAAAAGTGCAAAAAATTAACACGTTTTTATTTCTTCTTACGAAAGCTAAAAACCCGTACTATTTATTAAATAATAAAAAATAAAATGTTTTTACGTATATGTTTGATTCATTCCATTAAAATTTACCTGTGTTTGAGATATTGATAAAAAATTTTTTTTTCTGGAATACCGCAGTGTGTTTAATTTTATTCTAAAATTTGTATTCTTGTAGTTCTCTACTATCTATATGGAAATAAAAAAGGTAAAACCAACATTTTTTTTTCAAAGAATGTATTTTTGACATTTGTTTCCGTGTAGAGCTTACGCATGGCTATGCTCTTACTAAAATGCTAAGTATAAAATTTATCGACTTTAGTGGCTTCCTGGCGGTATATAATTTATTTTATAGGGAAATTTCTGTTTAATTCTTTTTAGTGGATAAATTACCTTTACAATAATACCAAACACGTTCAGATTGCCGAAAGGGGAACAGATAAAAACAAATTGGGGGACTTGGGGTACAACTGAGAAAGAAAGGGGGACAAATAAAACTAAGTGCATTCAACAAAAAATTTATTTATTCGCTTATGGTACAACAAAACCGTTCGAAAATAAAAAATCAATAACATTTGAACAAAACAAAAGTTACACTGGCGATCAAAACTGAGTGCATGGTGAATTTATTTTAAATATTTACAATGTCTTTTAAGTAATTTTTTTTTTATATTTTGTAAAATTTTTTTTTCATGCTTTAGCCAAAACCAAATTAAAACTTTCAAACCTAATACAAACTCTAGAAAAATGCAACAAATTTCCATAAAAATTTGGGACTTTTTAATCTGAATTATTGGATATGCAGCTGCATGGTTACATGGCTAAAGTTTTACGCGGCTAAAAACCGCATAGATCTTTGATACTTTTTTTCTGATGGTCTTTTTCCATACGAAGATGAATTTGAAGAAATTATGATAGAACGTTTGCAAAAAAAAAATTTACAAAAAGTCAACAAGATTAAAAGATTAAAAAGTTCAAAATTTTTATGGAAATTGGTTGCATTTTTCTAAAATTTGTATATGGTTTTGTTTAAAGTATAAATAGTGTTTTTATAAAAAATAACAAAACAATTAACTTGAAAATCACTGTACATAAAAAATATATTTACATATACATATGTGTACATATTTAACCTTAAATATGGCATACGAATATTTTCAAATAAAATCTATACTTTTCGTTCAACTTTGATTCAACTAATCGTCTGTGAAAGTTGAACAAGACAAACACGCTTTAAGCGAAAAGTGAACGATTTCGGGCAAAAATGGGGGACCTACGCAACCTTCCGTAGCAAGGCAGGGAAAACAGTCAAAATGGGGTATGTTCCCCCCAATGGGGTACGTATGGCAACCCTAATTTTTGCCCACTTAGGCGACACTGTGTGCGGTGCCAATGATTTCCCAGCGTCGGGAGGAGGAAGGCCTGAGTGTACGTACTCACATACTATAGCCTTACCGAGCTGAGCGAAGAATTCAATTTGCTGTAACTTTTTGAGAGTGTTTATAAAGCAAGATTTTGAAGAAATTCGAAGTTATCCACAGAAGAGACTGGCTATCTGACGCCATTTCAAGCAACATCGAGATCCCAATCCTCACCGATTGTTCCGAAATGGACATCAGAACAGAATCAAGCTTACTTCTAGATTACTGCAATATTTTTTTTGTCTGAGATCTGTCCTAACTTGGTAAATATGATCGTCCTTGTTTAGTCAAGACTCGCCTTTCTTGAAGATAGTCTTGCTGCTATCAACGCCATGCGGCCGGTAGCGGTTAACTCGATATAAGTATAGGAATGTTGAGAATTCGGTCTTGTTCGAGTTGCAATCACATCCGCAGTGTTGCGGGAATTATTAAAATATCATGTTCGATGTGGCTTTCTAAATCTTTTAATTTTATTTTTTAAGCAGTTCACAAACTAGTCCCTCGAGAGATATCTGTTATAATCCGCTGTTTTGATTTTTAATTTCCCTTCCAGGCTAATGATATCATGAAGCTGCCTATGGGCCTTTTGCTGGAAGGCGTTGTACCTTATGCCAATAAATGTGATCCGAAGCCTGAACTGGGTGAGTTTCTAAACATTACAAATTGTAATTCATCTCAAAGTTCTGGAACAGTGTGCATATATACTTACTGTACTTTGTTAATTCTTTAAGAACACATGGAGGAACTCTTCTTGTTTAAAGAGGACGCACAGCATGCAACGAAATGCTTTCGTCGTTGCCTAATGGATCAGTTTGAATTGGTATGAAAAATAGTAAAATATTTTTTTGCAAATTTTGAAATAATAACATTTCTATTTACGCAGTTCGTAGAAGGTGGAACACAAGTTCATACCGAGAAGTTGGCGTACGGCATGCTTTTGCTGTATCCTGATAAAATGGATGAGCTGAGCGAAATATCAGATGGCTGTAACGAGCAAAACAATCAAATGGGCATCGAAGAGAAGTGAGTTGGAAAGTAATTTCATTACTAACACTAATCAATTTTCTATTAAATAGGTGCGAAGTAGCCCATTCATATGCAATGTGTATGCTGAAAGAAATGCAGTCGCGTAATTATGAAATACCTGAGGTCGAGCAGTGAAATTGTATGCGTACATCGATCTTTGGAGTAAAATTGATAACACGATCAAACTCATGTATATTTTTTTTTACTTAGATTGCTTTCAATAAAAATTTAGTGGCATATTTAGTTTGTGGCTAAAGATGATAATTAAACCATAATTTTAGTTAAAATGGCGCGCAGTACCTCTTACCGCATATGGAGGTTCAAAATTATTATTCGCTATTATCTCATACGTGGTATTGCATTTGATGGACAAGACGTATTAAACCAAGCCTCGAATAATCGACGAGGCCACGCTGCGGCGATTATTAACATGTTACCTTTTTGTGTTATCGTGCATGGGTTTAATACTTATGAACGCGGCACTGCCGTACACTAGCCGGTCGGCGCACAGTGTGAAAAATCGATTTTTTTCGCGAAAAAATCTAACATATTGAGATAAGATAGCGAATTGAATGTAACTGCGTTTTATAGCTCAAGTGCCAATGAATTTAGGAAAAATAGTCCCGTATATTTGGTGCTTTAAAATTACCTTAAAAAGTGTCGTGTTTCACCTTTTCTTTGATCTGAAAACATTTTGAAAAAGTTTTAAGACCATTTTCTTTAGTTTGAACCTTGGATGACATTTTGCTGTACTAGAGTAGAGACTAAAAAATCAAATAAGCTGTTCTAGTAACACCACCTTATGTAGATGCGCCTTGTTCCATTCCATTGCGCTGCTGCATGAATTCGTGACGAATGCACTCGAAGCTTTTCATTAACTTGGGCGCTTTGCTGAGGGGATAATCGCCGTGAAGGACTATTACGATTGTAATAAAACTGCAGGATCGTAGTATTGTTGTAATGCTAAAACCGAATATGCCATAAAATTTATAGTTTGACAGTTAACATGTATTAAGGCTCACTGATCTTGAGTTCTATATCACATTCATACTTTTTCGGTTGACAACTGCCAAGTCAATTGTCATTTTCAATTGAGTAGCAAATGTATTTGTTTAGCAAAATCAATGATTTCTGGTATTCAAGCTATGATATAACAACAGTAATTATATTTATGAATGGTGAAAATTTGAGGCCGTTTGCTATACGTTCTGCCAAAACAATTTGACCTAGGAAATTCGTCATTTCCAAAACTTCAGTTTTCTCATTTTTCAATCAAGTTATTAGCTTTTGAATTTTTGGAAATTTCGGATGCCATATTGGATCTTGCTTTTTGAACTTTTAAACTAGTACTTTTAGTAGTACTATGAATATATGAAGCATAAGATGAATAAACATTTTAAAAACTAGTTTGAAATTTGTAATAAGCGAACTTGAAAACCACTTAATACCAAATCGATAAATATCAATAACAAAATCGATAAATATCGATAACATAAGCGATAACTATCGATAACAAAATCAATAAAAATATTGATAAAAAAATCGATAAAAATATTGATAACAAAATCGATAAATATCGGTAACAAAATCGGTAAAAATATCGGAAAAAATCGATAAATATCGATAACAAAATCGATTAAAATTATCGATAACAAAATCGATCAAAATATCGCTAACAAAATAGTTAAAAACATCGATTACAAAATCGATAACGAAATCGAAAAAAAGATTATTATATCCATAAGTTCCAAAACTGGGGTCCGTTTGACTCGCATTACGAAAAAAAGGCGAAAAAATTGAAATTTGACTCGTACGCCCTCAAAATTTCGTGAAAGTTGCGAATTTTTTGCCTTTTTCTTACAATTTTCGCAATTAAATCGAAATTTTGGTGGTGTACGAGTCAAACGGACCTCAGATTCGGATTCAGTGCGTCGAAATACATATCGGTAGGTGGGTCTGGTTAAAATCACACTCTACTTGTTTTTTGCAACTTTTTTTAATTATTTTCCATATCAGCTCACTGTAGCTCACTGTAAGCACAAATTTATCAAACCAGTCGCAGAAGAAAGTATTATAAATGAATTACAAAAACAAAAACACTGATGAAGTTACAGATTCCCCAAACTCTGAAACAGCCAAAGGAATGAGAATGAAGAATTCCTTTTAAAAAGCTTCAGAAAAAGCTGACACATCTGGTTTGGTTTGTAAGCGCTGTTTAAACAACGAACTCACCATTATGCTAGATTCTAATGGTTTCTTGAAAATACTTGACATCCCCATTCGTATCCGCATTCGCGGATGTTAGCTGTTAGACATCCGTATCCACGAAATCAGCGCATCTTGCGCCCGTCACCAGTGGGTACCTCAGGGTCGGAACATTTGCATCCCATCGTACAATGTATGTCGATGTCGTTGTGAAGATTATACAACTCATTGTTTATAAATCTTCCATTTGATTCCTGATTATTTAATAATTAAAAACAGGGTGTTAAGGCGCACTGATAAGGCGGTTGATAACTGTCAGAGTTACGCAATGTTTACATACCCACAAAAAAGGTGGCACGCTCACTGTAAAATAGGCGGTTTATCGAGTTTCGACTGTTCCTCAAAAAGGTAACATATTTCAGTGACTTTACTACATTCATTTGCACTTTCACGGTCGTCTGAATTGTAAAACATAATTTAAATTAATCGTAAAACGCTTACGCAAAAGTATTTGCTCTAGAAAAACAATAATACACTTGAACTTGAAGTTTTTTTTAGTTTCAAATGCAATAATAATAATAAGAAACGAATAAACCGTCAACTTTAAAAATATCTGATTACGCCAGCAAAACTCAGCTTAAGGCATGCGTTTTCACAAACGTGAAGACTACTATAAAAGCGAAAGTTTTTTGATTAGCACTTCAGAATTTACAGACCAGCAAGCATACAAAAAATTCATTAAGAAAATGACAAGTCTAAGAAACAAGATGTTATATACCGCTATACTTTGCCTGGCCGCTATTCAAAGTGTAAATTTTTTAACTTAGCTTAATAAATAAATTTTCTTATCTCTGATTTCCTTTACCTATATACCACAGCTAAATGCACTCGACACTAACCCTTACAAGCTATCTGGAAAACGCAAACCTTTGATGACACGCCAGAATTCTTTGGAATTGGGGGACTATAAACGCACAAAACGCCAATTAACGGAGCCCATGCAGGAGTTTCAGGATTTTATAACAAATTCGAAAACTCAGTGCGCAAATGGGATGGGTTTTAGTGCCGATGAATTGCAAAAATCTTTGCTTTACGAAGATCAGCCAACTCGCAAGGAGAAGTGTCTCATTGAATGCATTTTAAAGCGGATGGAAGTGGTGAGTAAATTTTGAATGGTTTGGGCTTTAATTTAAATACATAACAATTTCCCTTAACTTCCAGATGGACAAGGATAATACGTTGTCTACAGCGGCAATTGGTCGCATTGCCAACATAGTGAGTGCACAGCCTACTAAAATATTATCAACTCATACTTACATACATACATATACATATATTCCTAATTCCAAAATGCTTACAGGTCGGTAACAACAATCCTTTAATTACTTCAATCGCAATGGCTACAGCTGACAATTGCAAAAAGTTCATAAATGCCGAAGACTCCTGCGAGCGCGCACACCAAATTAATATATGCATTGCCACCGAAATGAAGATGCGTAAAATTAAATTAATTTATTAGAAATTTAGCAACCACATTAGAATGTTAAATATTAACCCATAATTAGGTGCATAGAAAAAATCGCATATGTAAATAGTCACTAGAGATACTATTGATCTCGAAGGAAATGGAAGATTTCCTGTCAAGAATATTAAGACTGTTACTTTAGCGAACTTTTTGGCGATGAAAATTTCAAAGTAACACAAATGGCTAATCGTTTTTGGCAAGCTATGACAAAATTAAAGTACCCAATATACCTAATTAAGGACTGGCTTTCAAATGAAAGTTGAGTTAGTGATATACATACATAGCTATAATAGATTCATACATATGTATGTATATAAAATTTTTCAATAAATTTGTTTAGAATTTTTAAATTTGCATATCATTTTGGTTTTCTGTATTCATACATATGTGTGTATGTATGTGCATAAATATATTCATATGTATGAATATAACTTTGTTTATTATGAGCGCTAGCAATAGTTTCCTTCCCCAACTTTTCTGGATGCTAAACACAAATTTTCTTTGGAAACAAGTAAGAAAATCTAAGTTCGGGCGGAGTCGAACAATAAATACCCTCGCAAGTATTAAATATATGTTTTTCACCTTTCCGAAAACTACCGCTACATGGTAAGCCGGGGTCGTTTTACCCCTATTTTAAACATCTTCGATAGAACGTTCGGTTGGACATAACGAGATAAACTTATATAGTCATATGTGGGCGGCATCACGCCCATTTTCCAAAATTCCAAATAATGTTACTTTTTTTCAAGGGATTGTTGTTAGTACAAATTTTGAGTAAATTAGTTCCTTAAATTTCGAAATATAGAAGTTACAAGCGTTTCTGAAATTTCCCGTTATATGAAAAGTGACCATAATTTTAGTCCGATTTCAAAAATTTTCAACGTTTGGCTTCTATGTGGCAAGCACAATAACCATACCGAGTTTGGTCCAAATTAGTAGAACGGTAACCGAGATACATGTATCTGATCATAAGAGGGCGGTGCCACGCCCATTTTCCGAAATTGTATCACAAACGTATTTCTTGGTAAAGAATTGTTGCAAGCATCAATTTTGAATAAATTAGCTTTAGTAGCTACTGATTTATCGAAGATTTCGTATTTCTCTAAATACCGTCTTATAATATGTGGACGTGGTTATTGCCCGATTTTAAAAATTTTCAGCCATTTGTTACGTTGTACCAAGGTCAACAATTGTGCCAAGTATTGGGAGAAATTGGTGGAGCGGTTACCATTTTCCAAAAATGTATATACTCTTATTTGTCGCCTAAAAATGATTGTAAATATCAGTTTTGAGTGAATAAGCTTCACTAGTTACTAAAATATCGCAGTTTTCGTATTTCTGAAAACTTCCGTTATATGGGAGGTAGGCGTGGTTATTGTCCGATTTGGCCCATTTTCAATAACATTCGTCCTACGCCGAAAAGAAGTATACATGCCAAGTTTCGTTAAGATATCTCAATTTTTACTCGAGTTATCGTGTGCACAGACGGACGGACGGACGGACAGACAGTCACCGCTTAATCGATTTCTCTTTTCATTC